CCCCACTCCTGTCCCCCATAACTGCACTGGGACGTGTAACAGGTAGTTACATATTGAGTGTCCAGAAGCCTGCGGGTGGGCAAGTGTGGATACCGATGCCTGGGGGCCATTTGCCCAAAATCACTAGGCTCATCTGTTGTGCAGGGAGCATGAGGGTGTGTTTTGTGTGAATATGCGGTCCTCACACCTGAGGAGAGGCCTCATCCTGTGCCTTACAGGTGGTGATGGGAGTCCGGCAGAGGGCACTCGAACCTGTAGCCGCAGGCTGAGTGGTGTGGCGGAGTGAGCCTGGGGCCTCAGGCTCCACCCAACCTCCCGGGTGTGCGTGCACACCCGGTTGTTGGGTGCTAGCCTGTATTCTTGGTGGCTGTGGACAACAAAGAAGACTAGGCAATACAGTGAATCCTGTAGACTGAGGAGGCCCTGTGACCCTGAGCAAATGAGAGCCCTTTTCTGTAATGGGGGGCAGCACCTCCCTCAGGGTTTTTGTGTGGATTCTTAAGGCACTGGTTGTAACCCCAGTCTGGCACTCAGTAACCACCCCACGAATGGGGTACGGGGTACCAGGGAGGGAGCCTGAATACCAGGACAGGTTGCATTGCCCCAGCTCCATCCTCTCCCACCCAGTTCTCAAGCACACCCTGAAAGACTGCCCCACCTCCACCCCTCCCCTCCTCCCATCACCCACCCCACTCTCTACCCTGTGGGTCCCTGGATGCCAAGCCTGCCCCTCCTTACTGCTCAGGCTCTCCCCAGTGCAGGGGGCACAGCCTGCCCTCAATTACTCATCCTTTTCTGTCAATTCCTAGATTCAGGGCCACCCCTCCCCAAGAAGGCACAGGAGGAAGAGGCTGTGAGAGACGAGGCAGGGCTGGGATTCGAACCCTGGTCTCATTGGCTTTGCCTACCCTGCTTCCTGGGAGGCTGGTGCCCTGGCCGTGGGGGTGACCTTGGGCCCATGCCCCCCCTTCTTGCCATCCATGTCCTGTACGCAGGGCGAGTCTGTGCCCATGCCTTGACCAGGGCTGGCGTGGTCGTGTTGGGTCTGTGCACGATGAGGAAGGCAGGGCCTGAGGCTCTTCCATCTCTGAGGTCAGGCTGTGGATGGTGGCCTGGAATTGTCTCCCATTGTCTGTTCTCTGGCTCCCACCCTGTAGGCATCAGGTGTCCTTTCTCGCAGCCAGGACACTGCAGGGGTGTTGGGGTCCATGCCTTGGTGTTCCTTCTATCCACTGTGGGGCATAGAAATACAGAGGTGTCCATGCTGGGGTTGGGGGCTCCTTGTGTTGGCAATTATAGACCAGTCCTGCCATGGGGAGCTTCCCGTGTCCCTGTGTCCCAGACAAGCCAGCTTCCTCCCCAGACCACCCTGCAGGGACGTGGCCCACCCAGGACCGCAGTCCACTTTGGCCTTGCCTGGTTGTGGGAACTTGTCCTGCTTCCGGAGCTCTGCCCCCGTGTTCCTGTGGGGGAGTGCTCCTCCGCCCGTGTCCTCCTTCCCCTCATAACCTTGAGGCTTTGTGGACAGGGGTAGCCTGTGGTCACCTGTGGGGCCTGGTTCTCTGAGTGCCAGCACATGGGTATGGCCAGGACCCCATAAGGGGGTCGTGTGAGTGACGGGAGGCAAAGGGCTGCCCTCGTCTACTAGCCTTCCCACTTTGAGGGGAGGGTTGCTAGGGCCTGAGGCAGGACAGTGTCAGCCCCGAGGGCTAGCTCCACATTCCCAAGCACACCCCGATCTCTTGAGTTGGCATCCTGAGGGCAGTGCCGAGGAACCTGCACTTCAGTCTATGCCCACCTATCAGTGGTGGCCCCCAGAGTTCCCCAGGCATGGGACTCAGCCCCCTGTCACCACCCACTCCTGTTTGTTGTTGTTAATTCTCACCCGAGGAGAATATTTCTTCCATTGCTTTTTTTTTTTTTTTATTGGAGGGAGGGCGAGAGAGAGAGACATCATTTTGAGAGAGATACATAGATTAGTTGTCTCCTGCAGGCCAGGGCCAGGGATCGAACTTGTGACCCTTCAGTGTGCAGGCTGACACTCTAACCATTGAGCAACACCAGCCAGGGCTCACCATCCACTCTTACTGCACTCTATCATCCCCACTGGGGTAGGGGGTGTGTCCCGGATCACTGTGGATCCCCAATTTCCTGGACTGGACAATCCCACCCTCCCATGCTCTGCCCCCTCTCACGGTCTTGACGTGAGTTGGGTTTGGGGGCCAACAGGTGTCACAGCTGAAGTGCAGTCAGTAAATTAGACTCCTCTTGGCCACTAAGGGCTCCACTCAGGGCCACCCAAGGGGAAGCTACATGGTCCCTCTCCTGCCCTCACCCACCTTAGGGACTCATCGCTCCAGCCTTGTGCTTGGGTTCAAGGCCCACTTATTCATCTGTACAGAAGATCCGTGGTTGCGGGGTGGAGGGTCTCCTTTGGCAAATCCCCCCTTTCTCCAGCCTCAATAGATTCCCTCCTCACGTGACTGCTAGAAACAAACATTTCAGGGGCAGGGCTTTTGCCTGGGACCATGGCCCTTTGGGTCCAGCCCCAAATCTGTGAGGCTAGGTGTTTCAGCCCTCCTTTTATGGGCGAGGGAATTGAGGTACAGGAAGGTCCCCCCAAGGGCCCAGGGCAACCCCCAGTTTACTAGCCCTTAGAGCAGCGGTTCTCAACCTGTGGGTCGCGACCCCTTTGGGGGTCGAACGACCCTTTCACAGGGGTCGCCTAAGACCATCGGAAAACACATATATAATTACATATTGTTTTTGTGATTAATCACTATGCTTTAATTATGTTCAATTTGTAACAATGAAAATATATCCTGCATATCAGATATTTACATGACGATTCATAACAGTAGCAAAATTACAGTTATGAAGTAGCAACGAAAATAATTTCATGGTTGGGGGTCACCACAACATGAGGAACTGTATTAAAGGGTCGCGGCATTAGGAAGGTTGAGAACCACTGCCTTAGAGCATAGTCCCCTGGCTTCAGGACGTTCTGAAAGTCAGACATGGTGGCAGGAGGAACTCTGGAAGTTCATGGCCCAGTCCCCCCTTTCTCCTGGCCCAGTCATGTTGGGCTTCCGGGAGGAGGGAGTACCAGGCTGTAACGTGATGCAAAGAAGGGCCAGGACTGGGGGTGAGGATGGTGAGGACAGTTTTGTGTGGGGGACAGCATGGCCAAGGCAGAGGGAGTTTGCCAGGTAGGGAGGGGACGGACCATCAGGGCAGGTTTGGAGCAGCCACAGGTCAGGGTGGGTTTGGGGGGCCAAAGAGAATGCCATTGAAACAACACAGCTTTGGTGGTGGTGGGGGGGTGACTAAGGACCCAGGAGGTGGTAGGAACGCAGCCCCTCCCTCGGAGATTTCTGACCCCAATTCACCTGCCCTGCTTTTGCTCAAGGCCCTGGTTGGGGCGCTACTGTCTTCTTGAGATTAGGGTCAGGCTGCCCCCGGATGCCCCCTGCCACCTCTGCGATGAGCGGTCTCCTGGCCTAGGCACCATCTCCTTGTTTTCTTTCTGGGCAGACATGCTGATCCCGCTAACATTTTCTTTCTTTCTTTTTCTTTTGTTAATCCTCACCCAAGGATACTTTTTCCATCTAACTCCAGAGAGAGTGGAGGAGAGGGGAGGAGAGAGAGAAACATCAATGTGAGAGAGAGACATCAATTGGTCGCTTCCCATGTGTGGGATCAAACCTACGACTCAGGTACGTGACCTTGATGGGAAGCGACCGTGACCCTCTGGTGTGTTGGTCAGCGCTCTAACCATTTAGAAACAGGGCCAGGGCATGATTCTGCTAATTTTGTGTCTTTCAATGTTGTGAAGTTAGCAACACTGTTACTCCTCTCAATGCCACCTCTGTATTGACACAATATCACTGTGTCCCTCTAGCCTCCCCTGAGGCTGGGGGGGGCGGGGGGGGAATCTTCCAGATTCCTTGGCCTGGACTCAAGATGTCTCAGAGGCCTTGGAGGGTGGGTATCAGGGACCTGGACAGGCACCACTATCAGATCCTGAACAACTGCCCCTGCCCCTCCACAGGGTGGGAGCCCCAGCCCGGCAGGATGAAGCACAGTGTCATGTTCCCAAGTCCCTGAGCTTCCCTCAGAGGCCAGGCCCCTCAGGACCTTGGCAGGTGTGCTGAGTTCAGGCCTAGGAGTCTACATTGGGCTGAGGCCTCACCTCACCTGCATGGGGCTGAAGGGTCACTTGGTCAGAAGAAAATCGTAGGCAGCTTACACAATTTGAGCCTGGGTTTCCACACCTGTCAGATAGGGGGTTGATGCCAGAGGATCTGCACTCATATCCTAGCGCTGACATAATCAACTGAATAGCTTGAAACAATAGAAATTCTCTCGTTCGTTCCGGAGGCTGGAAATCTGAAATCAAGGTGTTGGCAGGGGTGTGCGCCCTCCAGAGGCCCTAGGGACAGTCTGTCCCATGCGCTCTCCCAGCCTCTGGTGGCTGCCAGCAGTGCTTGGTGTCCCTTGGCTTGTAGCCACGTCACTGCAACGCCTGCCTTGTCACATGGCTGCCTCTGTGTGTCCCACTTGCGTTCAGGGCCCACTCTACCCTATTGTGACCTCATCTTAACTAGTTACACGTGTAGATGCCCCGTTTCCAAGTAAGAGCCCATTCTCATGTTCTGGATGGACATGAATTTTAGGGGACACTATTCAACCCACAACAGAGTCCTTGCCTTCTTGCTTTTTTGCCAACCCCAGGGGCACCCAGCGTGTTGCACCTGTGCTGGCCTTCGTCAACGGGGCCCCTGCGCCAGGGCCCCTGGTGTCCCTCGCATGACCAGAGGAGAGACTAAGGTCCCAGGTCCCAGGGTAGGACGCGGTATGTCTGAGATTACAAAATGCCACGGGGTACAGCCCCCAAATGGAGGCTCCCAGCTGGCCTGGCCCCTCCAGCTGCTGCCCCAGACAGACTGACCTGGGGAGGGGTCCCGGTCCTCACCATGTTCCCCTCCCCCCCAACCCAGGGTGCAAAATCAAGGCTCTGCGGGCCAAGACGAACACATACATCAAGACGCCGGTGCGTGGGGAGGAGCCCGTCTTCATCGTAACTGGCCGCCAGGAGGACGTGGAGATGGCCAAACGCGAGATCCTGTCTGCGGCGGAGCACTTCTCGGTGATCCGTGCCACCCGCAGCAAGGCCGGCGGGCTGCCCGGCACCGCGCAGGGCCCACCCAACCTGCCGGGACAGACCACCATCCAGGTGCGCGTGCCCTACCGCGTGGTGGGGCTGGTCGTGGGGCCCAAAGGCGCCACCATCAAGCGCATCCAGCAGCGGACGCACACGTACATCGTGACGCCCGGGCGGGACAAGGAGCCGGTGTTCGCGGTCACGGGCATGCCCGAGAACGTGGACCGGGCCCGGGAGGAGATCGAGGCGCACATCACGCTGCGCACCGGCGCCTTCACCGACGCCGGCCCCGACAGTGACTTCCACGCCAACGGCACCGACGTCTGCCTGGACCTGCTCGGAGCCGCTGCAGGCCTCTGGGCCAAGGCCCCCAACCCCGGGCGGCGGCCCACCCTGCCTAGCGCCAGCCTCCGGGGGGACAGTACCCTGGGCGCCCCGGGGGGCCCCGAGGCCTTCTACCCCAGCAGCCGCGGAGGACCGCCAGTGCCGGACACGGGCCCCGCCAGCCCCTATGCGGCTCAGGCAACGGGGGCTTCACCTTCGGCGGGGACGGCCCTGGAGCCCCGACTGGGCCACCTGCCCCCGAGGACTGTGACTTCGGCTTCGACTTCCTGGCGCTGGACCTGACGGTGCCCGCAGCAGCCACCATCTGGGCCCCCTTCGAGCGCGCTGCGTCCGTGCAGGCCTTCGTCAACGGGGCCCCCGGCGCCGCCGGCCCCCGGTGTCCGGCGCAGCAGCGGGGCTGGTACCCCGCGACACTCCCCCACGCTGCCGGAACCGGGGGGCCTGGGCCTGGAGCTCCCGCTGGCCCGCCGCGGCCCCCCGGACCCGGTGGGTGCCCTGCCCTGGCGGCCCCCGCAGGGCTCCCTGTCATCTTTCTCAAGCAGCAGCAGCTTCTCCACGGCCACCTCGCTGCCCAGCAGCTCCTCAGCCTCCACATGTTCCCCCCTGGACTCCAGCGCCTCCGAGATCAGCCGCAAGCCCTCAGCCGCCGCGACCTCCGGGCCCGGGGTGCCCGTGGCCTCCGCCGCCCCCGGCCCGGCCCTGGTGCGGGAGTGCGTGGTGTGTGCGGAAGGCGAGGTGATGGCCGCGCTGGTGCCCTGCGGCCACAACCTCTTCTGCATGGACTGCGCTGTGCGCATCTGCGGCAAGAGCGAGCCCGAGTGCCCCGCCTGCCGCACGCCCGCCACCCAGGCCATTCATATCTTTTCCTAACGAGTCGCTCCCGCGGCCACGGGGCCATCCTGAGGCCCCGGGAGTGGGCAGTGCTCTGGGCCGGGCTGGGGGAGGAGAGATGAGGGCAGGGGTGGAGGGGCAGGCCGGGGCGGGGCAGGGGGCAGTGTGGCCAGTGTTTACAGATGAGCTTTAACTCCGGTCCCAGGCATGGAGACAGTGACCCGGCAGCCCAGTGGCACCTCAGTTCTTAACAAATAACAGTATTGAGTTGACAGGTTAAAATAAACCAGAGAGAAAAGGTCTGTTGCACTTTTTATTTGAGACACACACACACACCTACACCCCCAGGGTGATCTTTTTAAAGAAAAAAAAATTTTTACAGCCATCAGTTGTCCTCCTTTTCTACGAAGTGGATTTCTGATTGGACAGTGTTGTTTTTACAGGGTGGCAGCCTCTGCAGAAAGTCCCACCAGGAGGACGGTGACATTTTTACTACCTTTTCACTCCCTTTTTGGGGCTAACTGGTCACCCTTTTGTAGGTCAGCCCCAGGAAGGCCGGAGGGGGGCGGGGGGAGGGGCACAGGGGCATCCCAACCAGAAATTTCTAACTTTTTTATTTTTAATTATTAATCCTCTTCTGCTGTGGTTTATGTTGTCCGTTTTTTAAATTTTTTTAATTGTTTTTTTTTTTTTTTTTTTTACTTTTACTTTTTACCTCTTGTGTATATGTAGCAAATTTATAGGGAAATATGTATGTACTTTATGGAATAAATTTTAAGAACTAAAATATATTTTATTTTAAAGTAACGGACCTTTAATCTTACGCAGCTAAATTACTGATTATATATTTGCTGAGCTGACTTAAGGGTTCAGAAAATTGTATCAAGAGTTTTATTTTTTGACTCCAAAGCCTTCTTAATAAAGTCTTTTTATGACGTGCGAGCCCTTGGCGTG